AATATGATCTAACTTTAGAGACCTCTAACTACCAATAACAGTACCATTAGTCGATACTTAGTCTCACACAAGTAATTCTAAAAAAGGAACCTCCATCACGAAACTCTAAAAGTCACAGGTTTCGTGAACAAAACGACTTGATAGCCTTTTAAATATTTGATGCCGAAGTATGACCTTGACAATTGAAACGAAACGAATTTACAGCTTAAACGCTACCGTTTGTGTTCTTTGAAACAATTGAAGGCTTCAAATTGAATGAATTTCGACATTTTCGGTTTAGGTTTAATCGTTTTTTAGGTAGTTAGTTGTAGTGGGTGTTTAAATATATAGAGGGTGGTTTAACTCGTCGAGTACCGTCATTATAGACACAATTATAGAACAATAGGTTGCAGTCACCGGTGATCGCTTGGTGTTTGACAGTTTAAATTCATTTGTGCTACTTTTCTTGTTTCATATAGCAGAAATGGAAAGTATTGATTGGGAATAATGTTTAAAGCTCAGCTATACGTAAGCTAATAACATAACATAACATCACGCCTTTTATCCCCGAAGGGGTAGGCAGAGGTGCACATTATGCCACTGTACAATATAACACCCACTTTTCACTATTTATGTCATGAGTCCCATGTAATAGGGGGTGAGCCTATCGCCATATACCGGGCACAATTCCAGACTCCGTGCTACTACTGAGAATTTTTGTAAAAACCCAGTAATACTTTGCCCGACCCGGGGATCGAACCCGAGACCCCTTGCCCAGCAGTCGCACTTGCGACCACTCGACCAACGAGGCAGTCCAACGTAAGCTAATACTAAAGAGTTATGCCTAGTGTTTCAAGTGTCAGATGATCCGTCTGCTCGTTTACCGGCTTATGCCATAAAAAAAGCTTCTTAATTACATATTATGTGTACAATAGGTCACGGAAATCTTTTCTCAGTACTGCTAACCATTTTTAAGTTTTCAGTCGCATGTAATTTAAAAATGGGTCAACGTTTATAATTACAGCTTTTCAGTCACGGAAATGCAATTACTGTAAACCGTTCAGGTTGTTGAACTGTTTTCAGCACTCTGTTACTGAATGATCCGAGTACAAAAAGGTAAAAGCCTCATTTCCGTCAGAGTTCCACTAAATACCGTTTTGAAGTGTTATAATGTGATAGAAATTATATTTCGTGAACCATTCATTAATAAAATCACGGTCCTAAGTGATAAAGAACTACCTACTTTTTTCTAATTGGTACTTCCGTAATACTTTGACCGACCCGGAAATCGAACCCGAGACCCCTTGGCTGGCTTGGCACTCGGCCAATGAGGTAGTCAAAAAAGAGAGCAGTTAAAAAACTACAATTAAACTTCATATTACTTAATAAAGGCATGACTAAAATAATATGTAGTAAACAGTAGGAATAAATGTTTACAACTTAAAAATTAAATAATATTGTATGCAAGAAAACAAAAAGTAAAAAGAAAATGAAACGTGGCAATGCTGCCAGTCTTTCAAAGTCAAAATCAAAGCATTTATTTCAACCATAAATAGGCACTTTTGAAACGTCAAAAATTGAATTGTCCGTCCGTCTGTCCGTCAGTGAAGCTAGGCGCTCGTTCCAAAGTGTAGTTTCGAATGGAGAAGAACGAGCAAGAAACTCCACCGCTCCACTTTTGGGCACCCTTCCTCACGATAATTTATTCGACGTCTTAAGTTAGATATTTCTAATCTTAATAAAGGATGTTTGATTATTATTTTGTTTTGTCACGTCGCTACGATACATTTGTATGATATCGTTGTCATAGCCAGGAGCTTGGAACACTCTTTAACTTCCTCAATGTAGGCTACAGTTTCCCTGACCAGCATGACGAGTATAATAAAAATAAAGTATACATTTTTAATGTAATCTACAATGCATTAAAACATAGATACATCATCATCATCATTATCAACAGCCTATAAATGCCTACTGCTGAGCAAAGCCTCTTCTCACACGTAGAAGGTTAGAGCATTAATCACCACGCTTGCTCAATGCGAGCAAATACTTATAATTAGAAATTATAAGCCCAGGTTTCCTCACGATGTATTCCGTCACCGTTTGTCAGCGGTGTCTAAATAATCTTAGAAAGTACATATAACTCAGAAAAAGTCACATTGGTAGTCGTTGTTAGGTTTCGAACGCGCACCCTCATGCATGAGAAGCGGCGTCTTAAACCTCCGGGCCACCACGACTGTAAAACATACCTAACAGTAATATTGTTCAGCAAACTAAATCAAGAAGGTATTAAAAACTACATAATATTCATTTCGCAGAAAAAGCTGCTCAAAAAATAAACAACAGATTCCCTTACAAAGAAACTGCGGCAAACAGCTGCAATACTAAATGTTGCGAGAGAAATTAAACTAGATTTTATGAGCCATATAAATGTGTTATGATGGCTTTATGAAGCTGTTTCAAGCTTATTAAAATTTGTGACGCCAAAGTATATTAGGATTATAATATTATTATTGTTTTGCTAAAAGCGGTCAAGTGGTCGCCAATATGGCTGCTGAGGTCTTGGTTGGAGTACTTGAATGACAAAGTATTCTAAGGTGTTCATAATCAATAGCCATTTATAGTCTACTACTGGCAGGAGCTTTCTCTACTTATTTATTTATTATTATTTTGTTAGACCTTAGGTTTTAGACCAATTACATTAACACACACATACCAAAAACTAAAATCAAATAGTGATCATCATCAACAGCCTATAAATGCCCACTGCTGAGCAAAGCCTCTTCTCACATGCAGAAAGTTAGAGCATTAATCACCATGCTTGCTCAATGCGGGTTGGCGATTTCAAACTAAGAATTAGAAATTATAAGTCTAGGTTTCCTCACGATGTTTTCCGTCACCGTTTGTCAGTGGTGTCTAAATAATCTTAGAAAGTACATATAACTCGGAAAAACTCACATTGGTACTTGCCGTTGGTAGGTTTCGAACCCGCACCCTCATGCATGAGAAGCGGGCGTCTTAAACCTCCGGGCCACCTAAACAGTACAATATCGGAAAAAGAAGAAAAAACACATAAATGAGCATCACATTAAAATTAAAAAAAAAACAAAACACTTCACATGTATTCTACTCTGGCTTGACCACACGGCTTTTACTAAACACACAGTACATCAGATACATTCGACATTCCTTAAATCTATTTCAAAGTATTACTGGATTATTAAAAATTCTCAGTAGTAGCACGGAGTCTGGAATTGTGCATCGTATATGGCAATAGGCTCACCCCCTATTACATGGGACTCGTAACATAGAAACTAAAAAGTTGGTGTTACATTGTACAGTGGCATTAAGTGCCGTAATATGCACCCTTGCCTACCCCTTCGGGGATAAAAGGCATGATGTTATGTTGTGTTAAATCCACTTAATTGATTTTATCCAAAGGCTTAATATTATCTGGAACTAACTTAATATATGTTATAGGAACATGACCCACTCCTGGAATCAGGGCTTGGCATGAAGCCAATAAGTGTCAGGATAAGGAAGAGCGTCCAAGAATTTTAATAGGTCAGATTAAATTCTTCGAGATACTTTATTGATGTTATTATGTAAGATATAATAGGGGTGCACTGAGATAGGCTATTTGATTACATAAGATCCTACAACAAAGTCTCTTATTGCAACTACACTGCTACTTACATAAAAGTCATCGTTTTGCTAAAAGTGTAAAGCATTTATTTCCAGCTGCTTCTGGGGCTCAACGGGGCTACGGAGCTGCGGAGGACTTAACTGGTTACCGGGGCTCCGGCACGAAGTGCAGGAGTAGGAACGGGGTGGTTTTTAGTCAGTAAGAGTCTGATACTTCCTCCCACCTCATTCAGGTGGGAAGGAGGGAGGAGTTGAGGAGGGAAAATTATCGAATGACTTATATACAGTATACTAATCAAATCCTAAATATGGAACAACATGCTTGTAAGATATCGAGCCATATTTCTGACCCACATTAAAGAAATTCATCAAAAATTTATGGAAGTCGTTACTGGTTTACGTGCGCTCCCTGGCTCGGAAGATAAAAAAAGTTTTCTGATGCCTGTTCACTTCGACATATGAATTCTATTTACTTTACCTTAAGATTTGAACGTTAAACACTGCCCCAGTTACCAATGATCGCATAATCAACGGGGTATTTAAACCACAATGTAAATCTGATTATAACTTTTATTCAATAGTCCGTAATCAATGATTAATTAAAATAAATGCTTTGACTTTATTTAAAACAAAGAAATTGAAATAAATGTATGTATTTCTGCAAATACTGAAAAAACAATTCCTTATTAATTTTGTTTATTTCTATTTATCACCAACCTACCCCAAACAGGAGTCATTAACCCAGAAAACGTAAAACATCATTCATTGCACCCAAAGCTCGATCACGAAGAATAGTAACCAAACGTAGCCAGCCCTGTTTCCCCAAACACCGAAACCCGACCATAACGTCCATATTTGTAGGCAATACAGACACGTTTCTCCTTAAAATTGTATAGAAATGGCTGAGGAGAGTACAAGGAAAAGTAATCTTAATAACATTCAGGATTGGGACCTCAGAATTGTAAAACAAGACTGTCTGTCGCCGTACACTGTCGGAACACATGATACCGCTGTATCGACCCGACGAAGCGACGCGCGCACTCAAATAACCACATTTGACCAATAAAATATAACGAAAAATGAATTAAAAATCGAAAACTAAAACTTCAATTAATAAAAATAACAAAATTTGAATTTAATTTTCACCAAAACATAATTTTTCGGTTTTAATTTTATACGCTACGGCGTAGCTTCAAATTTTTGTTTTCGTAGATTTTTAGTGTTAGAATATTGTTTTTATGTTAAATGAAAGTTATAACAGAATAAGTGGTTAGTTAAGGATTTTTTATGGGTTTTTTATGGTTATGTAGAATTTTGAGGTAGCTGACGAGGCTGACGGGGACGGCCTGCGCCCAGTAGTACACGAGTCGCGGGAACGCGTCGACGTCTGACGAAAAACAGACGTCAAAGAGAAAATAATTTTCCAAAATATACGTTTTTCAATCCAGAACATAATGATATAGTGCTAAAACATCACAGTGTTTTTCATAATATTGTTTTCTTTAGCGTGTTTTGTTTTAAATGGTAACAGTGAGAGTTTAGTTTTAATGAGGCTGGTTAAATAAATATCTAGGCATTTATTTATACTATACACGATATATTTAATTACCGTTTCCATTCCATTAGTGTACCAATCATTATTTAGTCAAATAACTTGTATTTTCACAAGAAAAACGATCGAAAAATACCGTCAAGTCATTACTGCATTATGTCAATCTGCGTATCGTATTTCTATGCGTATTTTCTTATTTTAATTCCATTTTATTATGCGAAAATGATGTTCATTTAAAATGAAATAATTTTATGAAAAATTATGTAACAAAAAATGTTTGTTTCGTTCGTTTTTTAATTGAGAAAACCGTAAGAAATCGTTGGTATGGCATTTGATTGCATGTTTGCGATACATTTTCGTGATTCTAATTCATTGTGTACCGTTGTTTTAGTGTCGTGTGACGTCAAACTCATATAGTTTGAGGTTAGGTTATGTAATAGTGCTTTTAACGGTACAAAAAAGGTCTAAGTTTTTCAGGGATCATTTTATTCTAGTTAGTTCATATAGAACTATTGACAGACCAATGTAAAAAGGTGTCTAAGCTTTCGATTAGCGTTTTCTAAGGCGTGCAATATAGAAGGGTTATATGTTAACATACCACGTTTTATTGACTTTATAAATGCGCCTTTAAGATCCTTGGGTAAAGCAGTAGAATACTTATTAATGTATTCAGTGTAATTAAAGGTTTAAATCACGTTTTATTTAGTTTTAAAACAAAAGCTGACGTTGAAAAGTAAAAGAGTCCTTATGTCAAACCCAGATGTGAATAGGTAAGTTATTTACAGATAGCATAATACACATCATATAGTTTCACATTTTTAATCCCCGAAGGGTAAGCAGAGACAGGCACTAACTCTTGACTAGTTTTCTTATGAATCTATTGTCTTCTTCTCTGTCGTTTCGCTCTTGACAGAGCGGTCGTGGTCACGTTGAGGCGGCCGTATTTGTGTTGTAGGCCGATACTGCTTTCCTCATCTCCCGCCATCTCTCCCTGTTTGTGGATTATCTGGCGCATTCTGACACTGGGTTTCCTGTTGCTGTGAATTGACCAGTCCAGCACATAGGTGATCTGCCTCGTGATTTGGTACATTCCCCTGAATCTATTGTTATAGATTGTTATCTCCACCTACATCTGACGCCTTGTATTGAGTATTTATACAATATCACATAATTCTGATTTACTTTATGCTTATGTATACGTGGTATAAAGTGTCTTAATCAGTTTCGATTTTGTATCTAATCAATGCAGGGTTGACTAGAGTGTTGAGATTTATAATAGCTAGTTATTATCTTCGATAACGCGTGCCAGTACCATACTGATCTATTTATTTATTTTATTTGTTTAACTTTTTACAACTAGCTTACCTACACGGATGGGTTTAATGCCATGGTCATTTTTTCACGGTCATTGTACATACAGTGGCATAATGTACACCTCTGCCTACCCCTTCGAGTGTAAAAGGCGTGATGTTATGTTATGTGTCATTCTTACTAGCCAACCTTTAGGTGATGCAGTGAAAAAGTTGTCGGTGTGCCTTAACTTGAACTAAGAGCCTAATGTGGCATTATGTTTGTTTTCACCAGTTACTATTTTTTATTACTTTCATTGTTATATGGGCCGACTCTATTTATAAAGACCCAAATAACACAATAGCAACAAAAGTAAAAAATCATATTATTAATTGATTTTGGAATCGAACTTAAGTCATTGACAGTCGTGGTTAGGACTCAACTAATGTCTCAGTAATAACCACTAACGTAGTCGTTTGTCACATGGCTCAATTAACGTAAGAGGTCAAAAGTCAATCTATTTTTGCACCCCTGATTACCTCATACCGATAAAAGAAGCGAGAGGATTATTATATTTATAGTGATAGAGGCAATTATTTATAGCCTATTGTACGCATGTATCCAATATTGAGACTCACAATAAAACTTGCAAAATGTATTTACCTCTATATTATTTTTGCATCTCTGCTTACTCCTTCAAAGGAGATGGATATTTAATCGACATTATAAGTAGTATAGATGAACCTTTTTCAAGTTTTGTGTATTTTCTTACAAAGTTTTATTTAGGCAGTTATCATCAGGATCATCATTATCAACAGCCTATAAATGCCCACTGCTGAGCAAAGCCTCTTCTAACATGGTGAAGGTTTAAACATTAATCACCACGCTTGCTCAATGCGGGTTGGCGATTTCAAACTTATAATTAGAAATTATAACTCCAGGTTTCTTCACGATGGTTTCCTTCGGAAGTTACCACTGACATACAATGATAGGAAACATGAGAAAACTCAAACTAACATAGGTACTAAATTCGTCATTTCGTGTTGAGTAAACCAGATGGTCTTTTTCCTTCGATCTTCACGATAAAATGTCAAGCAGTAAAAAGGCACTCTGGGCCTGTGCCCGGTCCCTCAGGAGCCCCCAAAGGACCAACCATTTACACACCTGCTACTCGTTGCGCGGCAACTGGCTACAAAGTCAAAGTCAAAATTATTTATTTCAATTAGACCTGAAAGGCACTTTTGAGCGTCAACAATAAAATTAAAAGTGAGGCTATTCGCTCATTCCAAGGTGTAGATTCCTATGGAGAAAAACGAGCAAGAAACTCCATAGGTTACTCTTTTTCAATCACTTTCACAATACAATTCTCTAGTTACATAGTTTGCTGTTTGTATTGTGCGAGAACAATGTAACACTAAAATCTAGTCAAAGTGATCGAAAAAGAAAATAACCTTAAAGACAAAAATAATACAGTCTGGAGCTGACCAGTCTCAGTTGACGGCGCCTGTTCACGAATATGATACGTAGGTACATCAGCACCACCCAACTCAACCATATTGTAGGGAATCGAGCGATCCACTGCACGCGCCACCGCCAATGAGACCTTTGAGTGAGCATGACAACTCCAAGCTGTCACATATGCATTCTACTAGTCTAATTTAATATTAAGTTAATTACAGGGCTCTCACATTTAAAACGCCCCGCAACGTGTAGCGGGTTCGTTTCCCGCACAGAATCTTTGTGTGGTACACAAATTGTTGTTTTGAACTCGCCACGCATACCCACGCTATAGGAGAAAATTCTAGTGTGGGGCAACGTTAAAAAAAGAAGCGCTCCAAATGGGATTGTGTGCCCAAGGTCCTACACATACTACACATATTACCACAGACTTAGACTACACTGGGGAGTGTAGTCTAAGACGGTCCTAGGTATAGTCTGGTATATATATGTCTGTTCTGGTAATCATTGTCATCATTACTGTATCAGCTACAAGTCGTCCATTGCTGAACATAAACTTTCCTCAGTGAATTGATATTTTATTGTCTACCCAATGAAAGACATGAAACCGTAGCATAATATATGTATATATAACATACATAAGTATATTATCTAATAACCAAAGCAGGGCGAAAACCTTTTCTTATGCAAAGAAAGATCAAAAGAATTTACACCAAGCTAACTCTCAGAGTTTCATGTTTCAGCTTCCTGAAACATTTTCTTTCAAGATATTTTCAGTGTGTAATTATGTTTATGATATTTAGAGCTTTTGTTCGTGGCTTTTACAGCCACTGATAGGTTAAGAATGTATTTGCAAAGGTTTGTCTTTGGATGGGTGAGACGATTCTTAATGACAACAAACGCTTCATTGCCTTAAAGTTCAATTAACGTATTTTATCTCGATCATTAATTTAATGAATGATTAGATCCACTACATAATTAATAACCTAGTAAATGGTGGCAATACATTATGGATACATATTTTTTGCAACATCGAAAAAAAAATATTAGGTAAAATCGGGATAGAAATCCTATCACCTAAGTCAGCCCATACCGTGCCTGAATACCACATAAAAATCCGTCCTGTAATTTTAGCGTGATTGACGGACAAACATCCAAACAAATAAACTTTCACATTAATTATAACATTAGTGTGATTAGGTGATTACATTAGTTTATACCTCTTTAACATTTCTTAACCCTTTAAACATTTTAGCTTCTTGCACGACGCATGCATGCATGACGTATGACTTCACCCGCCTTACCCAGGCGGGTGAAGTCATGCGATAAATTTCCTCCTTTAAAAAAATCTTTAAACAACCACTATACTCCACATTCCTATTTCAATAACATCTACAATTATCCACAACAGCACAACGACTGGAGAACCTAACGGGTAACCGGGGCTCCGGCTCGACGTGCAGGAGAAGGAACGGGGTGATTTTTAGTCAGTAAGAGTCTGACACTCCCTCCCGCCTCACCCAGGCGGGAGCAGTCATTCGATGATTTTCCCCCCTTAAACAAAAAGCCCCAAAACATCAAATCCATTCCCAACTCCACCACAAAATAATGAGGTTGAAAATACATTAAACAAAGATAGTCTCTACTACCTTCATATGCAGACGCTGGTAGAAAAGAAACAATGGTTGTGTTTCCCTCAATGACACACCGACATCTGTCTGGTTGCCATATAAACAGTGGCCCCGTTACATTTCCTAGGCATTCTTAAGTATTTATGCTAGACTTGAAGATAATAGAAGTTTGCACCTCGTTTCTTAAAGGGACTTAGATAGGTACTTAGATACTGCCTCGTTGGCCGAGTGGTCGTAAGTGCGACTGCCGGGCAAGGGGTCTCGGGTTCGATTCCCGGGTCGGGCAAAGTATTACTGGGTTTTATAAATATCCTCAGTATTAGCACGGAGTCTGAAATTGTGCCCGGTATATGGCAATAGGCTCACACCCTATTACATGGGACTCATAACATAAATAATGAAAAGTGGGTGTTACATTGTAGGTACAGTGGTATAATGTGCACCTCTGCCTACCCCTTCGGGGATAAAAGGCGTGATGTTATGTTATGTTATGTTATACTTAGATACTCTTTTACAATTAAGTCGTTTTCTAAAATCTTCAGCCTTAATTTAAGTGTGGGAGAGCCATGCTTCTGATACGCGATACCACGGAC